GCGCTCAGGATATTATTTCAAGTTCAAACTAGGTCTCCTTTGACCAGAGCGCCCTCTTTGCAATTTTTCATAACCTATATAGGGGAAACAGGGAACAAGTCAGACTGGATTTCATTTGGCTTTCTTTAATGGGGACTTTCTTCTTGCCTACTATTGGTTGTCCTGTCAACAGATTAATCCATCGGAGCTGTGGGATTATTCTGGGATAATACTGTTCAGTTCAATAACAATGTGTTGGTTGATGTGTATATGTGCTATGTCCTATGCATGTATACAAAAAGGAAGAAATGGTCGGGTTGGTGCAAAACTTCATGATAATGATCAGAGTGCTTATCAGATTAGCCTGTGGGGGGGAAATGTCTGGAAGCTGGATTGGGATGGTTTTGTAAATTTGCTTGTGCCGACCTGGAGGTAAAAGTCTGAATAGCTTGGATTTTTTCTAAACCCTATAGCCGTACTTGGTCAAGATGGAGGGAAGGTTGGTTGGATTATTCTCTCTGTTAACTAAGTGTTTGTACTTTGGACGGGTCCTGTTGTGTGAATGAGACAAACCACACAGTGATGGATGAACACATTGGTGCAGAAGATGATCAGCCCCTCCTGTGGAAACCCTGCAGGAAGTTTCTAAGTGCATTGACCATTTTAGGTCCCCAGAAAGGGTGGTTCCTATAAGAACCAGGATTAATCCAAAGCACATTGTCTTATAACCTATACATTTACACATTAACTTTTTCCTTGACCTTTATGCTCTGATCCTTGGCTTTCATGTTTTACTAATGTTCTATAACCAGTGTCTGGATTTATACTGGGATTAATGTACACACAGGTGAACCATTTACAAATTGGATGCCATTGAAAGGCAGTTGATAGATTTTATTTTGAGAAACCAGACTTAATAGGGACTGAATAGAAATGCACTGTGCAATATAGATAGCTTTTTTTTTTTTTGCTTATCATTGTCCTTAAGCTCTAAAATGTGTTTATATTCATCAATCCCAGTGAAATTCATTCATTTTGAGATTTTTAACATGGAAAAGGATCATGAATGAGTTTAAACGCATGTCTATATAAAGGTTAGAATTTGGTAAAAAGAAAAAAAAATTATGGCTTCACTGATTGTCACCCTGCTTTTCTTGTGTGAAATTTTCTCATCAGAGCAGAGGACCCGATCTTCAATCTAGCTACGCCTCTAGGCCCAGAGGAGATCCAAAGCCATACGCGTGAAGTCTTGGTGGCCCCTGATGAGCAGGCAGGCCCCACAGCCAAGAATGAACAACCTTTGGAGGAAACCACTTCTCTGCAAGGCGGCTGGTTCGGTCGAGGCTACAGCAAAGGCAGGAGAGCAAGAAAAAAAAAGCTTCATAACTGAGGGATATATGGAGAAGCTGAAGCAGTCAGGTGCTACCAGTGATTATTATTATTCCTGTCTTATTGATGAGGAAAGAGATGCAGCTGTTGCTGCTGGTATTGATAAACACACACGAGCATCATGCATATGAGTGAGGGCATTAACAGAAGGCTCTTTGCACTGTTATATTATTGAACATTTATTCATTAGAAAAACTCCTGTTGTGCAGTAGATTTATTTTTATACTACCTTGTTTATGGCAGCTACCAGATCTGGTTAAATCATTGCTACTCTCTAAGTTACTTCAGCTGCTGTAAGATTATAAGGCAGATAAATTATTTAATAAAACAGAGTTTAAACAGTTTGTAAATGGTGAAATCTCCTAAAATTACTGAAAAGAGGCTAGAGAAAAAGCTTTTTTTTACGTCAATACACAGAACCTTAATTTAGTCTGAGTGGATAATTTTGGAAAAGATTTACTTTTTGCTCTCTGTATCCTTCAAATGCATGCATTACAACATGTTTGCTTTTCCTTCATGCTTTTGATTTAATAATGCTATCTGCTGATTGAGATTGGCTAGATGAAGGCTATTCTCCTTCTAGAACTGCCATACAAAGTATGCATTACCTTAGTATTCATATATAAAAACTATGATTATGTGCAAAAGTCAGATTTTTTTTTTCCCAATGGAATGTTCCAGAAAAAGCAAATCAGCATAAAATGTGAGTTTTGTGCGGTTGATTTTCTACATTTTAAATATATTTGTTTATTTTTTTTTAAGTTGTATAGGAAGCTGTGCTATAGTTTATTTTTTACAAAACTGGTGTTTATTTGTGGTGTTTTAGTTTACTTCCATGGCAGTGATTCAAACCTACCATCACTTTCACTGATTAGGTTTACTATGGTTGATTTACTTTTTTCTTTTTTGGTTTACTGAGGTTTAGGAAAAGATCTGAGTTTGACATTAAACAGCTAAATTAAATATTTTTTCTCAGGAAGATGTGATGTAAAAACTTTTCATTGTATTTTGTAAAGCATTTTTTTTATCAGACACAATAAATCATTAGACATGTTTACTGTATTTCCTCCTGCTTTAATAACACCAGAGGTGCTACTGTATCTGAAATGTTTTATTTATTTTGATATTTTGATGCTCAAATGTTTTTTTTTCCTGTTGTTCAAAAGTAAAAAATCTACACACAGGAATGTTTGTAACATTAGGATATGTACCAGCCTGAACTGTATGTATTAAAATGTAATGTCCAAATGGTTCATTTCTGCTGTGTAGTGTTTAACTACATTTGTTTTTGTTCTTTTCCCTCTCACTGGGGAGGATATTTAAATGCTTTACAAAAATCGCAATATTAAAGGCTCTTGATGCTTATTTGAGTTTATTGTAATTTTCTTTTCTAAATATTATCTTGGCCTATTATAGATGGACATGTGCTTGTTGGCATCAATAGATGGTTGTAGAAATTTGTGACATACAGATCAAAGTGCAGATTATATGTGCTACAATTTCCTATCACAATTTTTGTCCTCGAAGCATAATTTTACATAAATGTTATTTCAGTTTCCACTATACTACTTAGTGACTGATTGTTATAAGACTGATTGCTATAATAAAAAAATAAAAATGGCATGTGTTGTAATTCCAGACCAAATTTACCAGTAGGCCAGGGTGGGGCCAGTGTTTTTTAATGGTGCCACAGAAAAAAAAAATAAATAAAACATTCAGGGATAATACTCATTGTTTGATACTTAAGATCTGGCAAATGAAAATTGATTTTACTATAGTATAACTGAAGTTGAAAGTGCAACAACTTAATTTTTTTATTCTCCACAAAATAATATTGATCCATTAGTGGTTTCTGTTCCAGCTCATATAATTTATTTGCTTATTTTTGTCACTTGAATGTGTTTTCAGTTTTAGGGATTCAGAACAAGAGAAGCTGAACGTAAACCACTCTTCAGGGGGAATTGCGGAAAATTCATAGACAAAATGCAAGCAAACATGGTGACTGCAAACCCATCCAGGAGGAGCCTGTCCTGCAAGATGATGGGTGACTAGATGCAATGCATTATCTCTATAAAGTGTCTTGAGATAATGATTGTGGTGAATTGGTGCTATATAAATAAACTGAGCTGAATTTATCCACCATACATTTATTTTGTATTGTCTTTGGTACAGGGGCAAAGATTATGCAGCCCTTGTCTATAACTGCCCATGAAAATGGGCCTCTTTAATTCTGTTTAATAAATATGTATGGTTTAAAAAAAAAGAGGTTAAAGTTAAACTGTTTTAGGATCTTTTAGATCATGTTATTTACATCACCTAGTGCAAATGCGTTAGTTTATCACTAGCACGAAGTCAAACGCATATGGCATTAATGCTGTTACTGTCTCTTTAAATCGCTTCTGGGTGGATTGCGCAATCAGGGCGTCACCTTGAGAACATCCGATCAGTGTGACGAAGGCGTTGCTCGCTGCTGAGTGACATTCAGTCCGATCACCAGGATCCGATTGCGACCTGTTGAAGACTGTTTGTTTTTAATTCCTTCAGCTCAGATTCTAAAGAGAAAAATAAAACTTTAGATTCTTTTTCTTTTCTGTCAAAGCAGTTCTTGAAACATTGAATCCCTTGTAAACTGGTAGAAATGATGAAAAACGGACAACACGGTACCAAGGATCAGAGCGAAGAAGCCGGCAGCAGTACGCCGGCTGCCTCCGCGCGTAGCCCGGAGAAAAGGAAGAGGGTTGTCCGGTTGTGGTGCGATGGATGGTGAGTCTGAGTGGTTTTGGTAACTGTTGGAAAGCTTGTCCTGTCATGGGCTAATCTGGAGGAAAAAAACAACCAGCTGGGCAGAAGAGAGCTATCAGCTGGCTAGCATGCTAACATTAGCATGCTACTTAGCAGTTAATGACAGAAGTAGAACAGTTGTTAATATTTTATTTATTTTATTTTCAGGAATAAACAAAGCAGTGTCACTTCTTAAACTCCTCCTTCTGCATATATTCTGGTCACCGAGATTAGTTATTTATTTTTATTTAACCAGGGAAAAACCTCTTTTTCCAGGAGTCCTGGCCAAGAGGCAGCAAAGATACATTAAATACAGATACAATAAAATAAATGACAGGTACATAAAAAATAAACAAAAAATCTCAAGTAAAACAATTACAGATCGTGTAGTATTATCATCTGTCTGTCTGCACTGTATGATCATAGAGCTATTGATCAAAATATGATGGTATTAATGCTTAATAACAATAAACAATTCTAAAGAATAAGTAAAGGTTTCTTTTTCCAAAACAGCTGTTGTAGTATGATCAACAGGAGCCCCTTTGTTTTTGTGGCGATTTTGGAGTGTCTGCACTGTACAGCCTTAGAGCTATTGATCAAAATAAGATGACATTAATGCTTAATAATATCAACAACAAAAAAAAAGTTAAGATGTATTTTTCCAAACCAGCTGTTGTAGTATGATCACCAAGAGCCCCTTGATGTGTGTGGTGATTTTGGAGAGTCTGCACTGTATAACCACATAGCTATTGATCAAAATAGGATGATATTAATGCTTAATAACAATAAAAAATTCTAAAAAATAAGTAAAGGTGTCTTTTTCAAAAACAGCTGTTCTAGTATTATCATCAGGAGTCACTTGGTCTGCGTGGTGATTTTGGATTGTCTGCACTGTACATTGTTAGAGCTATTGATTAAAATAGGATGATATTAATGGTTAATGATAACAAAAAAATTCTAAAAAAAAAAAAGTAAAGGTGTATTTTTCCAAACCAGCTGTTGTAGTGTGATCACCAAGAGCCCCTTGGTGTGTGTGGTGATTTTGGAGTCTCTGCACTTTATGGCAGTGGAGTTATTGATTTTTATTTGCAATGTTTTGCTGTTGTTTTACCATTTGCAGACGGTCCCTAACCACTCGCCTGGCCACAGCCTGTGCATAGAGATCAATGTAATACATCCAGCTCAGAGAACGGCTTGTTTTTCTCGAAAATAACGCTTTTTGATTCTTGTAGTACGTAGTCTGTGCTATCAGGACATGAAAGAAGCGGCATTTGTGTTTCAACAACGTTTCTTGTGAGAATTATTGATGACGGAAGACCGAATCTGTGAATATCTTTCCAACTTTACCGAACTCAGATCATTGAAGCTGCTTCAAATTCTTTCACTTTCCACCTAAAATAATTTAAAGATAAAATCTTTAAATGCTTTCATGTTATAATCTCACTGTCATCGTTCCAAAGCATAAATGATCTGTTTCCCAGATAAACTGGCTGCAAATAACAGCATATCCATCAGATCTCTCTGATCAGTTATCATCTGATTTTTAGTCCTGTATTCAGCAGCTGCAAATCATGCCCTATTTTAATGGTATAGAGGTGGAAAGGTGCACATCTAAGCTCATTGCATCTTTGTATTTATAAAAACCTAATCAGGTAGAAGCTGTTTGGAGAGAAACTTTCAGACAAGTGTTACTGCCCTGTTCATTTCTGCATAATTTCTCAGCTGCAGGGCAGAAACTGACTTTGTTTTAGAAAGGTATCATTACTGTCTGATGTGCTGAGCAAAGACTGTAGTGTTTTCTTTATATTCTGTTTTGCATTTCTATGTTGCAGCACTGACCAACAAATCAGGCTATAATTTTCTAAAACAATTCCCTAAATTTCTAGATATTTTTTTTTTTACAATTTTGAGATATTTACTGCTCTAATTGGGTTGCTCTATCAGTTGGAGGCATGTTTTATGGTTTCTAAACTCCATTCAACTATCTTATCAATAATTTAATTAGTTGACAATTATTTCAATAATCGACTAATCACCATTAATTGTTTCAGCCCTAATTATGACCCTTAATCATAACCCCCTGTCGGCACATAAAAAAAAAAAAAAAAAAGGAGTGAGCATCCGCCTCTAAAAACAAATTTTTCTTTAAAAGATTGAAATCAGGCTCAAAGAACCCTCATTGAGGTTTTAAGTCAATATTTGCAGGATATGCAAAGATATGGCAGAAAGGTTCAGTAACAGAAAGACTTAAACTTCAACGATAAAAAATGGTGAAGATGGGCAGGAGAACAGCACCAAGTCTATTTCCTAATTGTCGATTGTGCAACCAAGATAAATTGTAATTAGTCCAGCAAGCTCTGGCCTTCATGCACTAACAGAGAGCTTTAGTTAAAAAGATGCTTATTTGTTTTCCTTCAAAGCTGTGATGCTTTTAGTATTTCAGTTTAAATCACATCTACCCTGTTAAACTGACATCCTTTTATAATGGCCTAAAAAATCTTACTGATCATATTTACCTTTTTTATTTGGCCACCAACGTATCAGGTCTCCTGTTCAGTGCGGCGAAGCTTGAATCGCCTTAGTTACTGAGTGACCAGAATCAAATAAACACTGCCACATTGATAGCAGACAGGATGTTCACAGCCATTACCTCAGTCCCAGTAACCTTTATCACTTATCAGCACCAGTTTGGTTTGTAAAAAAAAAATAAAAAATCACAAACAAGATAATGAAGTAAAGCCGCACACAACGGGAGATCCATTTGGGAATGTTCTATCTTGTTAGGCTGATGCTGAATAGCTTTGTTTGGAGGACATTTTAAAGATAATAGTCGCCTAAAGAGAAGAAAACATGACAGCAGGGGTGCTGTTGTCTCAGCCTCCCACTGGCTGCTAGTTAGTTTTGATCTTTTGACCTGAGAGCTGCCCTCTTTAAGCTTTTTTTCATACTCATGATGTCTTGTTTCTATAGCTACGACATGGTGCACTACGGTCACTCTAACCAGCTGCGGCAGGCTAAGTCTATGGGCGATTACCTTATTGTCGGGGTGCACACGGACGGTAAGACAGGACAGTTTGAGACAATCTTCTAATGTGTTTCCATTGATAAATCCGATACCTATAATTCAATTTCCTGTAAATGCTGTTTAGATCATAAGATGCTGAAATATCAGTAACAAACAGCTGACTCAAAATGTTTGTTTTTAAAGCGGAGATTTCCAAACACAAGGGCCCTCCGGTTTTTACTCAGGAAGAGCGCTACAAGATGGTGCGTGCAATCAAGTGGGTGGACGAGATAGTGGAGGGGGCCCCTTATGTCACAACGCTGGAAACGCTGGATAAATACAACTGTGACTTCTGTGTGCATGGAGGTGAGGCAGCTTAAGGAGTTTTTATTAACGCCTTTTTGTAGATTTTAGCTTCTTTGTTAATACTGAAGCTTTACACATTTTGTCACGTTTCAACCACAAACTTTACTGCATTGTATTAGTTAATGTGAGAGAGCAGCACAAAATAGGTAGGATCCCGCACCTCAACAACTTTTTTTTCTTACAGTTTCGAGTATATTTTATCAGATTAGATCTAATGGAAGAATGTTAAAGTTTGTGGTTGTGTCATAAAAATGGAAGAAGTTCATAGATGTAAAATGCCTTTGGAAAGGACTTCAGGTTATTGTATGGACGATGCTTTAAATGTTTATGTTTTCCAGATGACATCACGCTAACAGTGGACGGTAAGGACACGTATGCGGAGGTGAAGCAGGCTGGGCGATACAGAGAGTGTAAGCGCACCCAGGGGGTCTCCACCACCGACCTGGTGGGGCGGATGCTTCTAATGACCAAAGCCCACCACAGCAACATGGTAAGCTTACATTTCTGAGTTTAGCAGGCAAACCACTGTTTTCTATATCGTGGCTTTAATTCAGTATTCATCTTCCTGCAGGATAACACAGATTACCAGCAGCACACCGACAACTTTGGAAAGGTGAAAAAAAATGATTTCTCTCAATATAATTATGTGTGATTATCTGTATAGAATTAGTCTTTCATTATTGTTAACTTCTGCATATCCTGCTGCCTTCAGGGTGCTACAGCCCACAGCCCATGGACAGGGGTGTCTCAGTTCCTGCAAACATCCCAGAAGATCATCCAGTTTGCTTCAGCTAAAGAGCCTCAGCCTGGAGACACCATCATTTATGTGGCTGGAGCCTTTGATCTTTTCCGTATCCTTTATCATTAAAAAATAAGCCAGTTAATAAAGGTATTCATAAACTTTTACTTTAAACTCTGTTAGAAGGCAGCAGATGCACAGCCGCTCCTGGAAGAGGCCTTCAGAGCTCACAGTTCTCCCCCCATGTTGCTCGCCCACATTTAAATGAGGCATTATATGCATGCGGATGGGGGATGGTTTGTGTATATTTATGTTAACTGGATCCAAATCACAACTTAACAAACCAGATCTACACAATCATTACATTGAGTTAGAGAGCGTACCATCTGGTGAAAGCTGGTGGTAACTAAAAAATGTTTTTGAACAGATGAAAAAAGATCTAACAGATAGTAGAGCTGTTTCTCTCTTCCAGAAAGGTTTTTTTGTTCAATTTTATGACTAATAGATGGAAGAAACAAACTAAAAACTTGTTGTAACTCATTTCAGGCTTTATAAGTGATTGTGATTTAATGTATTTTATAATTTAGCACAGTTTGATAAAAAATAATATTTCCAATTTAAACACATTATTATTGGAAGATTTAGGAAATAATACCTTTTAATGATGAACTTTTTCTGCTTTGCGTTTTACAAAAACTCGATTGTTCTACATATTGTGTTCCAGTTTCATTCCAAATTTGACCTCTAAATCATCCATCTATACTGGTGGAAAGTTAGATATTTCTTCTTCCAGTAACATGTTGATCATTTGCTTCCATCCGTTGGTTTCCACCTGCTTATTCTGCACGTATAGGACTGCTTTACAAGTTCCCTTCTGGTTGCTCCCTTGACCTCAGACCTCCTGCAGACATCGGCCACGTTGACTTTCTGGAGATGGTTTATAAGCAGGCAGAGAGGGCTTATGTTATTGTTGGTCTGCACTTTGATCAGGTACACTCAATCCCTCCTCCATCCCTTATCACTTCTTTTGGCAGATCAGGGACAAGTTACAGCAAGAGTAGCTCCAGATTATGTTTGGGTTTGGAGATATAGGCCGTCCAGGATTGTGACACAGTTTTACTTTTACACTTCCTGTTAGCTCTGCTGGTATTCCCAGCTGCAGGTTGATATTAATATGTAACCCTTCAAGTTCTACTTCATCTTCTTCAGGAAGTGAATCGCTACAAGGGAAAAAACTACCCCATCATGAACATCCATGAGAGAACCCTGAGCGTCCTTGCCTGCCGGGTGAGCTCCCACTCAAACTCACTGACTCCTTAGCGCTGGTGACATATCTGCCCGTCATGTTCCCAGTACTGAGCATGAACTGGGCTCTCTTCCCTTCATTCCTGCTCGTCAGCCAAGAACAATTAGTCTTTGTTTGCAGTCTGCACTGTGTTTTAGTATCAGTTGTATGAACATTGCACAGTTCCACTATAACACCATGAAGTGCTGTAGCTCTACTATCAGTTCTTATAAATGCTTTTCAACAAAGTAAAATGTTTTTTTTTCTAACATTTGAGGAATTATCTGGTTTGAGCTTTGCTTTGTAATTTAAGACGTTTGTTTTTTTTTGTGTATAGTATGTGTCTGAGGTGGTGATCGGTGCTCCTTATGCTGTAGGCAAGGACCTGCTGGACCATTTTAAGGTGGGTTTCTCCTAAAATGTTTACTAAGACCTACTTTATCTGTTCAGATAGAGAGAATTTCAGCAGCCTGACTGGGGCAGAAGGGGGCAATAGGAGCCTCTAGATGTCAATACTGTATATTTAGTTCTATTGGAAAGGTTGTATTAAAGAAAAAGTTATTTAAAGACATGGCTCCCTCATCACTGAATGATTTGTAGACAGCAAGTCTATCACAGGCTTGTTGTCAGTGTTATAACCACTCAGAGCTCTCAGGTCTTCTGGCTCAAGTCTCCTTTGCATTTTCAGAACCAAATATGGAGAGGCAGCTTTTAGTTTTTATGCTCCACTAATCTGGAGTAAACTCCAAGAAAACTGAAAGTCCTGAAATCCTCAGTTATTATCTCCAACAAACGTTACTTGTTACTCTTGGCTTTGGTTTAATGCAGAGGTCACGGATTAGCGGACCGTGGTCCGGATCTGAACCCACCTGCTGGCTAATCGGGACTCAACCTGATTTAAAACATTTATAAATTACCGCATGTTGTCTTAAAACAGTGTCTAAACATCAATTGCGCCGCTTCTCCTGTTACCCTGAAATCCCACATCTTCCATCCCCGCTTCGCCCCGCAGCGCTCCAGACCTCCTGCACAAAGCAAAGCCTACAGCCTCCGCTGTTCCTCCCGTATTGCTGCGCCCCGACATATCCTCGGAGCTCGAGGAGAGCATGTGCGATACTATCATTAAATTTGTAGGAGCAAAACATGCAGAAATTAACGCTTAATTTAATATGACATATTAAAAAAATCTCCATCAGCATCCGCACAAATGCTGGATGCTGATGGAGATGACAAATCTGCTTCCTGGTCTGTTGAAGTACCAATAGTTTACATCCAATTTTTAAATAAACAGTGTTAGATTTTTAAATATATAAGAATTATGCTCTAATTTGTAGTTGTTACTGATCTGTTTTTTTTCTATATCTTAATTTGACAAAGTGAATTTTCTCGCCGTATTTTTTCCTGTTTGGTGCGATTGCAATAGCGGATCTTGACCTGGCCGGACCGGAGTGGAGCCTGAACATGTAGAGATATGTTTAGCTCAACTTGCTGCTGTGAAGCAGGATTCTCCACCATGAATATTATCAAAAATAAATATGGATCCAAGTTAAAAATTAGCACCTTGATATGTAATTGAGAATGGCTTTGTCCCCATTCAAACCCAGGTTTGAAGCCTTTATTTCAGTGTTAAATTCTGTTTAAAGTAACAGATAATTAAAAATGTCTCCAGACTTTTACTGGTTGATGACTTTCTTTATTCGGACCCCGCTGATTTTTAATTGGTTACCCCTGGTTTAATGTTTATAAATATTTATTTCAGGTCATGTTCGCCATCCAATGCAGATCATTGGCTCCATCCACATCTAGTGAAAACTAGTGGAAGTGGATGAGTCATACAACGCAAACACTCATTGGTTAGCTAAAGGAAATCTTTAGAAGCAAGCAGGTGTTCTTCAAACTGCTAATGTGAATTGTCTATGCCATGCTACAATGTCGGATTCAGAAAAAGATGTTGAAATGTCTGAAAGGTCGGACACAGGTGAGAACGTATCGGGAGATGGAGACCAACAAGACCTCCCTTATCCTTGGCCCTATCTCAAAGAATTTTTCAAAATAGTCGTAAAAATGAGTTTTCAATTCATATAGTGGCGTCTGGCTGTTATTTTTAGAGGTTACTTCATAATTTTACAATTGAAGTAGTTTTTGGAGCACATAGTTTTTCACTTTTCCTAGAGTAAAGAGGTCAAGTTGATGCTTTAACTTTTACCAGGGTGTTTTTAAACTGCAGTATCTTTACTTCTACTTAAGTAACAAATGTGTTTACTTTTGGCACCACTGCTCTTTGGTGAAATCCAAAGACAAATGAAGGTCCCACATGTACCTGTTCAAACAATTAAACACACTATTATAGACACCATAGGCTGTCAGACTGTTACTGCTGTCTATGAGGGAAGACCTCCTGGCTTTTGCTAATTAGAGAACGCTAATTAGAGAACTCTAAAGTGGAGTCATCACCCTAAAATACACCTTAGGGTTTCCATTTTACACATTTCCTGGAGTCAAATGAACATAAATCTAGCTGACACGAGGACACCTTCTTAACTATGAAGTACGGTGGTGGCAGTATGATGGCGTTTCCTCTTATGAGGATAGATTCTTATGTGGAAAATATTGCAGGTTCATATTGCAGAACTCAGGTTAATCAAATACTAAGAAAAGATACCTTCTGAGAGGAAAAGTGTTTTATAATTTATCTCAGTATTTTATTTATTTAGAAAAGAGCAATACAATGTATCTAAAACAGGATATAGTCCTGTTGAATATCAGTGAGAAATAGAGATATGTTTCTTTTTGTACTGAGTATGTAACTATATAAGTGGTACAAAGCCTCCTACCCTGGGTTTGTTGAGTAACCCCGGTTCTGTCACTCTATAGGTGGATTTAGTGTGTCACGGTAAAACTGAGGTGCTTCCTGATAAGGACGGGGTGGACCCATACGCTGTGAGTACACAAATACTACCTATTAAAAATGGCTACATTAATCTGAAAAGATAAAAGCTCTGAGATGTAAATATGTACAACCTTCATATCAATAAGCAAAAGCCTGTTAGCCTGCTTGGTGCTACAAGATTGAGTTCACTCAGTGTATGACTCTTTCTGGCTTTTGATGCAATAATTTGTCTGTATTCCTCAGGAACCCAAGAGGAGGGGGATTTTTAGGACCATTGACAGTGGGAACAATCTCACCACTGATGACATCGTCCAAAGGATCATTGCAAACAGGTGACAAGCCCTAAAAACATTAAAGCTCCAGCCATGAATTCAGTTTAATCCCTTTATTTGTTTCTTTCTTTTAAATACTCTTTTTGGTTTTCAGACTCCAGTTTGAAGCTAGGAACCAGAAAAAGGAGGCTAAAGAGATGGCTGTGATCGAAGCGATGAAGAGGAGGGAACACCAGCAGCAGGAGGGGCAGCAGGATGAAGCTGCAGCTCATTAATGCGCCCTGGACAGCTTTTAATCTGGTTCATTCATCCAGTCACACTCAGCTTTAAAAAAAAAAGGTTGACCCAGCAGAGCCAGACTGAAAGTCCTGGGCCAAATCTGGCCCATCTATGTGTGTACAGATCCAAAACCTGCTCTGATCCTTTGTTTCCTCCCTGTTAGGTTAAGCTTTTCAGATTTCAGTCACACTACTGTACATGTAAAATGATGTTGAGTCTGGGATTTTATTCATAACTTATTGTCAGACTTTATTACATAAATGAGTTTTAATGATGTGTCATCAGTAATGCTAAATGCGCTGTAATTTAACTATTTCAATTTCTAGTTTTAACCATGTTTTTTGTCCTCATTGTGTAAAAATTGCTTCCATCCATCCATTTTCGGTCACGCTTTACCCCAAGCGGGGTCGAGAGGGGTGCTGGTGCCTATCTCCAGCTGTCAACGGGCGAGAGGCGGGGTACACCCTGATCAGTCCATCGCAGGGCATTAGAGAAGCCAGTTAACCTAACAGTCATGTTTATGGACTGCGCGAGGAAGCCGGAGTACCCAGAGGAACCTACGCATGCTCAGGGAGAACATGCAAACTCCATGCAGAAAGAACCGGGGCGGTAAATGAACCCGGAACCTTCTTGCTGCAAGGCAGCAGTGCTACCCACTGAGCACCCGGTAAAAAATGCATAACTGATAAATGAATCTGTGAAATGCTTTGTAGATTTTATCTGTGGATTTTTAACCACCTGAATTTGCATCTGAGTGTGAATGTGTAACGGTGTGAGCGTGTGCAGAAAGAAGCGAGTACGTGAGTGTTTTTAAAAAGATGTAGTGCCTCAATCCTAAAGCTGTATTTATTCTAGTGACTGTTAGTCTGAGCGCTTCTCTGTCTGCAGCTGTCTTGACTAAAATTTTTATTTTTATGAGACAATCTTAGAAAAAGAAAGGATTCTAATTTTTGGACCTTGGAAGGGGAAGGGATTTCTCTTAATAATGATCCTTCCAGGTAAAGTGAAGATATTTTTAAATTGCGGTGCTTCTCTCAGCCTTTTAGTGTCTTTTTTTTTTGTGTGTTTCATTTTGTGAAATAAAAGGGTAATCTAAAACAATGAGGAGTGTAACGTGTGAGTTCATCCAGGTGGAGGTTTGTGTGATCAGCACATATTCCCGGTTCACTGAGGCGGATAAATTAGGGCAATGTTCGCTTCCTAAACAACTAAAGCCGACCCAGACTCAGCACCCCCACAGCTGAAAACCAGCAAATCATCATGTCTATAAAAAGATGTCCAGAGCATTTTGCATCTAACAAACCTTTATTTTGGGCCTTAACTTATAAAAGGTGCCATAATTTTACATGCAGATCTAAAGTTGTCAATTAATTGTATAATAAAGATGTGTTTTTATCCACTTGTTACTTTCCATAAAGTTCATCTAGACCTGAATTATTTTGTCTGAGTAATGTAGGTGTAACAATTCATGGAGAGTCTAATCCACACCTACATTGTGAGGCAATTAACACTAAATCTGCTGTGTATATAATATATAGCTATGTATAGTATATTGTATTCAACTATAGATCCTGTATTCTGTATATATACATATGTATATATATCTTGTCTGCACCAGGTCAAATTCCTTTTAAGTGCAAAACCACTTGGTAATAAATTTGATTCTGATTTAGCATGGCCACCATGTTTTGAGTGGCATCTTTTGGTACACCACTACAGAGAGCTGTGCAGGACATTTCTGTTGGAAGGAGTTCAGGTCCAGCTCTGATGCCCAGGGGTTCGTCTGTTATCCTCTAGAGCAGGCCTGCCCAAAGTCGGTACTTGGGGCGGCTCTCCTGCAGGTTTTAGAGGTTTCCCTGCTGCAGCAGTCGATTTCAGTATATAGCTGATTGAACAGACTTTTGCAGAACTTTAATCATCAGCTGAGTTAGAGGCAATAGCAGTGTGATTTATCTGTTCAACATCAGACTGCAAATGAAGAAATGAGGCCTTTAGAAACATAATATTTATGGGGGGTTTTTTCAGTTGTGCTGCCATAGGTGGTTCTAGAGAGGGGTAATGAGAGACTGAAAACACACACTGCAAATTGAAATGTACATGTTATTTTTCTTCAAATAGGTGTATATTCTCTTGGTTTAAGCAGGTAGAAAATTTAGCAGTGGAATAAAATGATTTACATTTAAAAGTAAGTAAAACACCTCCATTAACTTATTTCAAATGCCTGATATCTAATTATCTTATTTCTAAGAGCAAAAATATGTATTCCTTGGGCAGATCATAATTAGCTGCTCAAATTAAGCCTATTTTAAAGAAAATTTTGCCATTTTTATATCATTTTTTGTAGCATAACGCTAAAGTAATTTCTCACGATGACGTGCTGACAGAAGAGTCCATGACTGATTCATCCCTTGGACCAATTTAACATTCTCCTTTTATAATTTACTTAAACTATTATTTTCAATCTGCAGATAGCTTTCATCTTTAGTCGTACTAAGAGAGAATCACAGTTTTCCTATGTTAGATCAGAAGTCTGAAACTTTGGCTTTGTGGCTGAATCATTGTTATAAATGATGGCCTCTTGTCCTAATTGTTTGTTTTTATTATTATTATTTGTTTGTTTTTAATCTTTTTATGCTTTCTGTGGCCCCACCCTGGTAGACTTGCCACTGTGTGCCGTATTGGAACCACAAAAACTGCAAAAGAGCACATCAGTGAAGAGGAAGAAAAGCTTTTCAAGGTTTTCCTTTTTGGGGGGTAAATACTCATTTAAAAAACCTCATCCATATTTAAAAATACAGTGCAGGAGATATAGTCCAAGATGAAACTCTTTTAGGTTTGTGGTTTTAATACCATTAAATGTAAATGGGTAGGCATGCTGCAGTTGCCGTGGCACAGATTTTGGGGTTTGTGGGTGTTTTTCTGCTGTGATCCACTTTAGTTGTTCTCTGGGTTTATTTAAATCTTTTGGTGGTTTATTTTCTCTGCAAATATTTCCTTTGTCTCCTATTGGTTGGTTTTGTTTTGCCAGTCTAATGATTGACTCCAAAGGCAAGGACGCCTGCTTTTAACAACTCTTGCAACTCATATAAGTAAAGGAGTTTAAAAAAAAAAAAATCACAACTGGGAATAAGTTTTAAAACTTTGATATTTGTTTTTTAATTATGCAGTTTAATCAGAAATAAAGAAATGAAACCAGTTGTGCAAATATTTGCCGGTTCATTATAAGGTGTTATTATTAAATAAAATTCTAAATAGGTTATTTACTTTTTTTTTTACTATAATGACATTGTGTATTCTAAACCACCAACCTATCATCTACTGAAAATGCTGCAGAATTGAGGGTTCTGATACTTTTTATGTATTTTCACACCATATAGTGTTCAGTAACAGGAAGGATTCCAACTGTGTGCATTTCTTCACCGGGAGACCTGCTCCTTAAAACTACAGTCATCTACATTCCCGTAAGGGATTATCAAAAATGTTCTTTCTAAATGAGATCCATCCATAAAGTTTTAAAGCTGCACACATCTCAGCACCGTTTTGAGTTACAAACCTGCTTTGGCAGGATTTCTCTGCCTCAGTGAACTGAACAAAATCTGACATCTGTATCATCAGCTTGGGAATCACTTTGTTACCCGATCACAAGCTTGATCCTCTGCTCTGAGAAATATTCAGATGTGGAGCAGGTGTGTGGTGAAACCATTTTTTAATGACATGTGTTGTGAATTAGCGCTATATAAATAAACTGAATTAAACAGAATTGAAATTGACCATGCCAAGAAGGGACGTCAAATGGAAAATAAACCAATTTTAATCTTTGTAGGTGGGTGCCTAAGTAAGTTCACCCTGAGGTCAGACCAATTCATTCTCCATCTGAAGTATTTCTAAAGACTGATACAATCTGTGATTTGTCAGCATTTATGAATAAGTATGACTTCTTTTGAAAGGATGCCAGAAAAAAACAACAACATTTTCTCGGACAGTTCCGACAGTAGCAGGCGATTTAGCACTTTTGATAGGGTGTACCTTAAATAAAATCTAACAGAACAGATCAGCACAGACAGGGCTTGGTTATTTAGGGCTGTCATTAGTATTTTATCCACTAGTTTTATGCACCAAACTATGGGAATGAACAGAACTACTGAGTCACTTGGGGATTTTTCCCCTAAAATATTTCTCCCTTTTTTTTCTTTTGGTGCCAGTTTTATAATTTTAAAGAAAGTTCTAACAACAAATCATTACGATGAATCTATTATTTGTAATAACAAAAAAGCTGTAATCAAACAACAAAAACTCTCACACACATGACAATGAACTCCTTTCTTTTTCCAGAATAAATTAATTTACCGGTACAATAAGTTGAATTTCTTTTTTCAAACCTATAACTTTATGTATTTGTAAAGCGAGGAACCAGGGGTTTGGACTAAACCTTAACAATCCAGCTTTATAAATTCTGGTGTCAGGCTGTGCAACTGCTGTTTCTGCTTGCTTTAATTATGGGCCAAATCCATCAAAGATGTAGAGACGACTAAAATGATGTTCTCTCATGGTCTGGGACTTGGACTTGATCTGACTGCATGCAAAGCACAATTTACATGTGACTCAAACAAAACAAAAAAATTACCTGCAGGTCATGAATAAATATATACATATTGAGAGAAATAAAAAAAAAACTGTGTTTTGGGTCCTTTGTATGTGTATTTAGTTCAGGTTAAATTAAACTTGATGTCTTAAAATCCAAAACGAATGAGCTACACAATCAAATCAATAATTTTATTTCGTTTACAGTGAGAGTCATTAGTTTGAGTGAACAGTTACATGTTACACTTTTTTCAGTTTAAGGTGTAGGCATGAAAATACAGGCTAAAGAAGACCAGTAAACCCAAAAACATGAGCACAGGAAAACTGGGAGCTGAAGGCAAGGCGTGGGAGTGAGACAAACTGAAACTGAGATCAAAGTTGGATAAGATTAACAACAGGAGATGGTAAGGTTCATTTTCCGTCATGTGAGACGTGGGTGAGGTCATCAAGCAGATGACGGTTAAAGCAGCACAGTTCTTGGACATATTTGCTCAACAGAGTAAAAATCATTTAGATGTTTCATCATCATAAAGCAGCAGCATACATGCGTTGAAAACTGATACGAGCTACAAAATTAAGTTCAAATCGGAATAGTTTTCAGGTGAGATCCACGGACCCCACGTCACTTCCCAGGGAGGTCCCGGAGGTTCCCATCTGGGGAGCGGACTGCAGTGGGAGTGGGAGTGTTTTTTGGGAGGTCGAGCTGAAGGTTGTCCCTGAGTTGTGAATCTGTGTAAGAGGATCGCTGAAAGCTGGATCTGAGCGGCGGAGGAAGCGCTCCATGCGTAAAAGCTGCTTCGCCTGAAGGCGCGGCGAGCAGCAGCTCCCTGGGAGTGTGAAGCCATCCAGGATGGCCTGAAGCTTTCTCTTTTTAAAACTTCAATCAGGGTTTTTTTGTTGTTGTTGTTGTTCCGCTTGTTTTGGGAGTGTGCGCATCTCTAAGTTTTCCTCTCTGTCCGGATCGGAGGGGAGATGATCGCTCAGGATGGGACTGTGCCTCGGTACCGAAGATACAGAGGAGAGGAAGGCGCGGATCCACAGCGCAAAGATAGACAGAGACCTTTACGAGCATGCAAAGCGGGAGATGAACGTGGTTAAGATCCTCATACTAGGTGAGACCAACATTCAGATCAAAACACAGAAGTTAAAGCTGTGTTTTCAACTGTGGTTGACCTCCTTCTAGGAGCAGCAGAGAGTGGAAAAAGCACTTTGGTCAAACAGATGAAGATCATCCACAGTAATGGCTTCACCAAGCAGGAGCTGAACAGCTTCAAGGTGGGAACTTATCACACTCATTTGCACACAGTGGAGGGACTCTACTCCCACATTATGGGGAGCCTGTTTTGCAATGGATTAATAAGGCAGAAAGCTACTAATAGATCCAGGCGTAAAAACACCCCTTAAGTCCAGCAGAGAAGAAATATTTACTGAAATTTTAATATTAGATCACAGTTTTTCCATATTCATCCTCAAACACAGCTGGAAGTCAAATTGCTTTTTCACAAGTTGTGATGATGTGAAAACTATAACTATCTAGTAAAATAAATACTGATTAGGTCACAGATTGCTATAGATGTCTCATCCAGAAAACATTGGATCCTCCATCTCTGGGATGACCAAGAGCTGCTGTGCTTCATGTTTTAGACGTTTCACCTTCACCAAACCTAAATGGATATGAATGGTTTATTATACTGGTTCATCATGTCAGAGTTGTGTTTCTGAATTGGAAC